GCAGGGCTGGATGAACACAGCAGGCCAAGCAGCATCATAGGAGCAGATGCTGCTTGGAGCCTCTCTGCTCCTATGATGCTGCTTGGAGCCTCTCTGCTCCTATGATGCTGCTTGGAGCCTCTCTGCTCCTATGATGCTGCTTGGCCTGCTGTGTTCATCCAGCCCTGCACCTTGTTGTCTCGGATTCTCCAGCATCTGCAGTTCCTACTATCTCTGATACAATTTGTGTCAATCTCCCTTAGTCTTGTGAACCTTGCAGCTCAGAAAGCAGAAGGTTTTCCAAAAGAACTGGAGAAGAAGAAAAGAGGTCGATAGACCGAATTGAAAAGCCAATGACTTGAAGAGCCATTGGACTCAAAGTTAACTCTGTTTCTCTCCCCACAGATGCTGCCACACCTGCTAAGTTTTTTTTCCGGTCTGTTTTTATTTGAAAAGTCATCATTTGGTGGTCTTGCACAGACCAGCCATCATCCTCACACAAAGAGGGGTTAATAACGTTGGCCACGGGTGTAATTTCAAGCCCATTTTTAAAGCTGTACATTCTGTCTTTCATTTCTGGAGTGTGCCTTAATTTAGTTTATCCACTATTATCTACAATCCACTGTTATCAATAATTTGCAGTTTCTTGTTTGCGCCCCTTTGAAAAAGCAATCTCTTTTGATTTCCTTTTGACACTTGAGTTATTTGAATTAACATTTTAAAGGCTCATGTTGCTAGGCAACGAGACACAAGATGCTAGAGATTCACATGATTCGTCCAAGGCTTTTCTTCTCTATTCCTTACAAACATTTAGCTATCCTTTTGCCCTCTTTACCCCTCATGCAGCAATATTGTTGAGTATACTGAATACATCAGTATCGGTACTCTGAGAAAAGTCTTTTGTAAGCTAATGCATTAATGCTGTGCCATTATGCTTTAGGTGTGATGTTGTTAATTTGTCTTCTCAAACTATCTTCACCGTCATTCCTAGGGCTTCCACGCTGCAAGTGAACATAACACACAAATTTCATAAAGTTGTATTTTGTACTGGATTTAATTGAAATTCTAACAATGTTACTGATTACTGAACGCAACCTTTAAATACCTTGTGCTGCATATTTTGTCTGTTTGGAAAATGTAGCCCCCACACAGTGCACATCTCAAGCAGTAGGTGTTTGCTTTGGTCATGAGAATAAGCTGTGGTGCATTCAAATAAGTTGTGTTCCCATAGTCAATGGCTGAGGGTGGTTTTTAAAGCGCACTGGTGCTACTGCTTTTAGTTCCAGGTGCACTAGGTTCACAATTGAATTGGCAGCCCAAAGTAAACTTGCTGGATTCTCTTGCTGTCAGCTTTCGGGGAGATGTTTAACTGAGATGCTGTCTGTACGATGGCTCGTTAGTGCTGGGAGGCAGCAGCACTAACCAGTGACCTGAGTTCCATTCCAGCTTTGGGCCACTGTACACACACACACACACACACACACGAGCACGCACGCACACACACACTCTCCCCGTGTCTGCATGGGGTTTGGCTGGGCACCCCAGTTTCCTCCCACAGTCTAAAGGTATGCAGATCAGGTGGATTGGCCAAGCTACATTGCCCCAAGTGTCCAGGAATGTGCAGGCTAGGTGGATTAGCCATGGGAAATGCGGGTTTACAGGGATAGGATGGGGTGGTGGGTCTGAGTGGGACGCTGTCCAGAAAGTCAGTGTGGACTTGATGGGCTGAATGGCCTCTTTCCACTCTTTAGCGATTCTATGATCTGTTGCCTCAGGGCATGTTCCCTCTAAGCCCTGTGACTGTACAGCAACACAAAAGTTCCTGCACAGACCATGCACAGGCTGTGCAGTTAAACAAGTTTACCTCACACTCCCAAAAATAACTCTTAATTTTGTTGTAAAATAAAAACAAAATGCTGCGGACGACATTGAGAATACTGTGTACAGTTTTAGTCCCCTTACTTGAGGAAGGATGCAATTGCATTGGAGGCAGTTCAGAGAAGTTTCACGTGATTAATTCCGAAGGTGAAAGGCTTGTCTTGTGAAGAGAGATTGAAAAGTTTAGGCATATACCTGCTAGAATTTTTAGAAAAATGAGATGAGATCTTATATTCTTACGGAATCTAGAATCTGAAGTAAAAACAAAGTGCTGGAGAAACTCGGGTCTGGCAGCTCCTGTGTTGAGCGAAGGAGAGTTAATGTTTCGAGTCTGATATGATACAGCAGGGAAACAGACCCTTTTGGTCCAACCAGTCCATGCCGACCACGATCCCAAACTAAACTCGTCCCACCTGCCTGAGTCTGGCCCATATTCCTCCAAACATTTCTTATTCATGTACTTACCTAAATGCCTGTTAAACATTGTAACTGTACCTACGTCGGCCACTTCCTCTGACAGTTCGTTCCACATACAAACCACTCCGTGTTTTTTTTAGAACAAAATTGCCCTCATGTCTTCTTTAAATCTTTCTCCTCGCCTTAAAAATATGCTCCCTAGTTTTGACATTCCCACCCTAGGGAAAAGACGCTTGCCATTCACACTATCTATACCCCTCATGATTTTATAAACCTCTCTAAGGTCATCCATCAACATCCCACCCTTCAGTGAAAGAAGTCCCAGCCTCTCCTTATAATTCAAGCCCCATTCCTGGCAACATCCTAGTAAATCTCTCCAGCTTAGTAATATCCTTCTTATAACAGGGAGACCAGAACTGACCACAATACTCCAGAGAGGCCTCACCAGCATCCTGTACAACCTCTTTATAGACTCTTTAGAATGTTTTTGTTCCTCTCAGGAGGATGTGAAAGATCCCATAGCCCTATCTCAAAAAAAAAGCAGGGCTATTCTCCCCAGTTGCCTGATTTTTAACAGTTGTTATTTTGTTACTGTTTTTGAGTCCTTGCTTACATGCAAATTGGTTCGCTGGCTTTCTACTATTACAGGTAATTCTGCTATAACAAGTGTTTCGTTAACGCGAATTCACTGTAACACGATTGATGAATAGTGGACGCTGTTTGGATAACGTGAACTTTCTGCTGTACAGGTGTAGAGATTTCCCTACAATGTGATTTTTCTATGATTATTTTCTATAGCGCAAGGTCACACAAGATCGCAACTGTTGTGTTGCGAACCACCTGTACTGCAGGGACAAAGCTTCAAAAGTATTAAATTGGTTGTAAAATACTTTGGATCATTTGGATCATTGAGGTTGTGAGAGACATGATGTAAATGCAAGTCTAGAATGAAACTGGTTGGCTGGTTGTTTTAAAGCACTTAACATGTTTACTGTGGTATTGCTGGCAAATCTGGTACATAATATAGACCAAAATGGATTTGAGGTGAATTTTTTTCACACAGAGGGTGGTTCGTATGTAGAATGAACTGCCAGAGGAAGTGGTGGATGCAGGTACAGTTACAAAATTTAAAAGGCATTTGGATAAGTGCATGAATAAGAAAAGTTTGGGGGGGTGGGGGCCAAATGCAGGCAGGTGGGACTTGTTTGGTTTTGGAACATGGTCGGTGTGGACTGGTTGGACCAAAGGGTCTGTTGCTATGCTGTATGACTCTGTGACTCTGTAACTTGGATTTAGTGTCGGGGTTAATTTGTAGTATAGTGCCGTCGAAAGGAATACTTTGTTATACTGAAAAGTAAAGTGTGGCATTTTTATTTTCATTTGTGCAGACATGTCCTGCCGTTCACGGTTAGCTACGTTGAATGAAAAGCTGACAGCATTAGAGCGAAGGATCGAGTACATCGAGGCAAGGGTAAGAGTTTAATGTTTAACAAATAAATTACATCGAGAGAAAATGTTTAATTCAGTGTTGTCAGATTTGAGGAGATGTTTTCCTATATTTGAGCCTGTTCGTGGGCATGTAAAATCCATTCGCATCGACCCAGGAAGCTCATGAGTGTGGTTGATAGAGGGCATTTCACTTTCATCACTTGATAGTGTAGAACTTGAGCATCTCTGGAAGGAAAAAAACACACATTTTGGTAAAGCTTTTCAACTTGCAGTCATTTTATAAATGTTGCATTCTCCCCAAAACTGGTATTCTTGCAAATAGTCCTGGTGAGTGCAAGATAAAAATGTTTTTTCCTGACAGTATTCAATTTTATTGCCACTTTATGAAGTGCTTCAGTGTATTGCTTTGGATATGGGTATTCAGAATAATACTAAATGACTTTTTGCTTCGCTTGCAATATTCTTAACCTTGGAACTGGGAATAGATCCTACAAACCTTTTGAGCCGTTCAATAAAATCATGGCTGACCTTTGAACTCAAATTTCCTTGCCAACCAATCCCCAAATCTCTGATGCCGTTAAGAGTCCAAAAATCTACTAACATCAGTTTTGAATATGTTCTTGTCTGATCTCTGGGTTCAGGAACTCCAGCAGTTCTCAGCCCTCTAGTGTAAAGAAATTCTCATTTCAATCTGAAATGAATGACCTCTTATCCTGAGACGATGCCCCATACTTTCTCCAAACACCCCAGTTCTTGATTCAGCAGCCCCTGCACAATAAACCCGGAGTCTCTGACTTTTTTTTTAAATTAACTAATAGTAATGGTTCAAATTACCCCGAGTGAGGCAAGGTGACAAAGGATCAAAACGTTTGCTGAAACTTATGAAAAGGCAGTGAAAGCTTACTAACTGGTAAGGAGGACTTGTCAAACTCCAACCAAAACATGATCCACGAGGAACGATGATGCACCTCAGCCCCTCCAGTGCCCAGTGTTCATAGGATGCCTGTACTGTGTCAGTGGACTCTACATGCTCCCTCTGTGTGGATACTCAAGTCCAGATGTAAGTATGGAAGAAGGGCAAACATTGGAGCCCCCCAACTCCCCTCATGACCTGTTACTGGCCACTTTGTCCATGCCTAGGAGCAGGTTCATGAGGAGATCCTTTGACCTGCCTGTCCTTCTCTGCACATACTGCCTGTAGATCAGGAATGTGGAGCTGAAGGGCAGCCAAACGTTTGAAAGCAGACCCTTTTTTGAAATTAAAAAAAAAAGACAAGGTGGGGGACTGTGAACAAAAGCATTCTTAATAAATGTGGAATACTGTTTCCTCCAGGTCACAGAAACTGTATGTGGTGCCTGTGTTTCTACCCCGTTTCTGAACCTTGCAATACGTTTATATTTGAAGTCTGGAACCATGGATAAGAAATGAACCATTTCACATAGACACCCAGTGTCAGCATCCATCATTTCTTCAGATGCAGCATCTGTAGCCCCAGAAAAGAACAGGAGGCAGTGGCTGAGTGATACTATAGCAGACGGTGGAATTTGAATTCAGTAAAAACCTAGAATGAAAGAAGACCCCAGTGATGACCATAATTAGATGGTCCACTGGAAACTGTTGTGGAAAAAAGAACATCCAGTTCATTAATAAGATATAACACAGTGTGGAGCTGGAGGAACACAGCAGGCCAGGCAGCATCAGC